GTTAGCCTTCGTGTGATTTCGGTGGCTGTCCCGAAATCTATGATAATGGTCGGCTAGCTATGAAAAGTGGAGAGCCTCGATGAATGATATTTCAATATCTGCCAAGAAATCACTTTGTGATCTCACCACTAGCAAACAGAAATGTTTCCTTCCCGTTTCAGAAAGCGCGCGAAGACGAGTGTTGAAAACCGTGGTCTGAATGTAGAATGATCGCTAAAGTTTCGTCGCATAACTGACTGTCATCAAACTGCTCTCTTGGAATGGACGATGCATTGGTGTCACTGATGTGTAACCCAACGGGTCATATCATCTGAGGCGATAAAGCAAGGCTTCGCCCGCGAATAACAGGTGAAAGGATGAGTACCGAGGTCATTGGGGACATAGATAAAGAAGTGAATGAATGCAAGATCGTACGGTTTCTGTTACGGTGAGGAGAGCTGTTTGATATAATGGTAGGTCTGAGGTGATTTTCATCGACGGCACTGAATAGCTCTAAGTGATAAGTAATGTCGGACGCAATTGAAGCCGAGGCTAGAGCAGAAATCAACTTGTGCCTTCCAAGAAGACGACATTGTGCTTCATCCCCCCATGCGATTTAACTCGCCTACTGTAATAGGTTGCGCTTGTTGTGTACGTGACACCTGTCAGTAGTTACATTTCGAGTATCGCTGTGGCAGACTTGAGGTGCATTTGGTCATTCCGTTCTGATCAATGGACCCGAATCCCTTCTTCTTCATTTTACTCCTACCCGTGTTTTAGCACCTTCCCTTTTGAAATGGTGGCGAGGCGTGAACAACACCTAGCCCAAGTAGAGTGAGCTTTCGGTTTTCACAACCATTAACCATGGATTTTCATGCCCCGGTTTTGGCTACTCATTTGGAATCGGGGCCATCAAAGCATTGTGCCGTTATAGTTTATCCTCTAGTTATGTCACTTTCCTGAGTGAAATGTTCTTTCGATGTCGTCCCATCGCAGTGTTGTGAAATACTGCTCACTTGTGGGTAGTAGGTGACTTTCAATGATCATGGAAACAACAACGCCACCGAGGGCCAAGTGATATGCTTGGAAGAATAACTGATTGCGCTATACATTACCATGTGTGTTGGAAAGAATTGCGTTGGTACGTTTCTGATTAGGTTTTTGTGTTATGCATGCAGAATTACTGGCCTCCCGTCTGTAATCCTCAATACAGGAATATCCTCGACCAGCACCGCCTTCTGGAATTATAACAGCGTAGTGCATTAATTAGTCATGTCAACTTGTAGTTTCTGCAAATGAAAGAAGCGGATCCAACTTTTGTTTCTTTTTTATTTGCACCCTCATCTATATGTAGATTAAGTTACTTGTTTTTTTATATCATCTTTAAGGATTTTAGTGTCTAACTTACGCTGCCTAAGACTCAATGAGGCAGTTAATCAACTTTTTCCATGAAAGTATCATGCAACTTCGGCAGATTTTATTGTTGTTACTGCACTTTTGTTTGAGTATTTTTGCACCAAATTATTTTCAATAAAGATTCATACTTTTTCACAACGAAGCTTCGCTTGTTTGCCATCAAATTTTTCTCGTTTTCACTCCATTCGAGTGCCCCTCATCATCGTATTATTTCCTAAGCTACTTTAATTGGCTGTCCAACCCAACCTTTCCCGACAATAGAATATTATTTGTCGCATCTCTTTAATTATATGCCTCTTGAATGAATAAACCGAAGAGACGTCAATGATGGAGTACTCATTTGGATTTTGAGGCAGTTCTTACAGTTGTACGGTATTTGCATCGTGTCATGTGTAGACAAAGTGAGACGATCTTACCAAGTACCCACTATCGTTACCTCTGCTTCTCAGGACCCCTAACTCAATTCTTGGTAGGTTCGATGCACTTCCTCTGTCGGTGGTATCTGCCAAGGCTAGAGAAGCTGTGCAGTACGAAGAAGCTAGCTCCTGCTTTGGCTTTGATTGATGCAGACCGTCTTCTCGGTGTGGTCAAGTCTTCCAGGTCAGGATTTCGGCTGCTTTTTATACGAATAATTTGTTTTAGCAAAATAAACCCAGTTTCGGACATTTTCAGTGCGTGCCTCGATTAGACCATCTCACGGCGGTGCCTCAATTAGATAATAATTTGTTTGCATGCCTCACTGCGATCCGTCAATCATCCCCTTGGTTGCTGACTACTTTTGCTGAGTCTGTATGTACGCGTGTCACGTTGGTATTTTTTAGTTGTGACTTCTTTTTGGTGTCTTCTCTCTAACTCCGACTG